GGGAGGCGGTTTGATGGGGGGGGTGTTTGCGGCGATTCAGGTGATGGGGTTGGGGGCGAATAGATAGCATCCATTTCGTCACAGAATGCAGTGGGGGGCGAGTTGCAGGTGTGGAAAGCGGGCAGGGCGAGCCTGGAGATAAGCAGGGCCCGAGGGAGGCCGGGTGGCGGCGCGGCCCGTGGCGGCAGGGGTGGCGGAGCCCTGCGGCCGCCACGGGCTGGCGGGTGCGGCTGGGACTTCTGTCATGTGTGCAGCTCTTGCTCGTTGTGGCAACAGTGGTTGCGTCTAGGCTGCCAAGTTGCGTGTCACTTATATCAGCGACAAATCCATTATGTCCTCACCCTGTTTTCCAACGCCAGCAGCCACTCCAGCCAGGCCCCGGCCAACATCGCAAACAGGTACGAAAAAGCGATGGGCAGCCCGTTGCGGCCCAGCCACGCGGCGCCCAGCCACAGTTCACTGCGCGGGGCGGTTGGGTGATGCCGTCGGCGGGTGGCACACGGGTGACAATCGCGGCGGCTACCATGGGGTATACCCAGCCCCTTGGCAGCTGTAAATCGACGTCTGTCACCCGCAAGCCGCTCGCCGGTGACGCCTCTGTGGTCACCCGGCGTCACCCGGGTGAGGGTGTCCTCACCAGATCCAGAAGGGGATGGTGATCATGCAGTGGGTGAGGGCGCCGACGGGGAACATCCAGGCGCGCTCGTCATAAAACAGCTGCAGCCGCAGCCGGCGCAGGGCCTGGGGATGGGGTTTGGGGTTTTGAGGTCTTGGTTGGGGTGGTTGCAATCAGGTTGCAATTGCAGGGTGTGTGTCTGAAGGCACAAACAAGGGGGAAAACGATGTGGACGGCCAAGGTGGGTTGAAGTGTGCAGGACAAAGTTGCCGAGATACATGCAGCAGCAGAGCAAGAAGAGCAGGGATGGGGAAGGCAGGGGGCAGATGCCGCACTGGTCGACCAAAGTGAAACAATCAGCAAAAAAACGGGGGAACAACTACATCGTTTGACAAGCCAGCTGCGAGGATGTGCGCTATGCGGCCACCGAGAAGAGCTGCACCCCCCCGCCCGGCAGCCGCCGTGCGGCTTCTCACCTGCAGCTTCTTCTGCAGAAGCTGCGCGGCCGCCACCGCGGCGCGCTCCACGTCGTCTGGGGGGCTGTGCTCTGTGAATTCTGTGCTGTAGGTGCAGTTGTGGAAGTCGAGCAGCATCCGCAGGGCGACGGGGCTGGGCAGGTGGCGTGGGAGGAAGTCGAGCGGGCGGCGGTTGTTTTGTGGGGGAGGGGGGGTTAATGGGGCGTACGTTGCGAGGAGTGAGAGTGAGGCGGTGTAGGTGGTGGAGCAGCGCGTGCGAGCTCACAAAGCTCGTGTCGTCGACAGCGCGGCTTTGAGGCGCGCCCCGCGGCAGTGGAGGCGACAGCACCAGCGGGCGGTCGACAACCGGGGCGCGCCGGCGCCGCAATCGAGCCCCGCCGGGCGGCCGGGCTGTGCAGGTGAGTGAGAGGGCAGGCCGGCCGGCGCGAGGCGGAGCAAGCGAACCCCGCGCCGCGGCCGGTGGGTGCGACCCACCTGAGGTCGGGGGTGCCCCCCGCCCGCAGGGCGAGCGCCTCCGCCCACACCGCCTGCGTGCTGCGCATGCTGCGGCACAGCAGGGCGGCCGCGAGGGCGGCGTAGAGCGCCAGCAGCGCCAGGTTCTCGGGGATCGGCCAGCGGCTGAGGCGGTAGGAGGCCTGCGCGGCGGGAAAATCGGATTCGAAAGGAAAAACTCGGGCGAGAATCCCGTTAGCTGGCGCGGCGCCGGCGGGGTGGACGGCCGGAGTCTCGCTTCGCGTCGGGCGATTCTCTTTGAAAACAACCCCTACCACCAGCATACACAGAGCAGATACCATTGCGTCCGCGTCAAAAACGCGGCCCCTTCAAAGTCGCCCGCCCTGTGGACTACATGAGCTTGTGCTGGCGCGCGCACAGCCGCGGGCGCCAGCTTCATCCCCAGCAGGGGGAGGGGGGGGGTGCCCACCTGGCCGAGCACGGCCTGTGTGAAGAAGAGGGCGAGGACCATGCGGCCCGAAGAGCTGGCCCAATAGGAGTGGTCGGAGGAGGAGCAGAACAGGTACAGGACCTGGGAGGTTGGAGAGAGGGGTTGGGTGGGGGGCCCGTGCACGAGGTTCGCACCAGCATCGGACGAGGCATGCAAGCCCCAGTGTCGCGCCGAGCGAATTCATGGATCCAGAACGAGCTCGCGGCAGGGAAGCCCCAGCCCAGATGGAAGCCGAGGGGGCGGGTGACGCACCAATATGATGTACAGCGCGACATGGGGCATTCAAGGGGCATCTATCCCAGAGCAAACCTTTTCCTAGAAAACCGCATGCAGGATGTCTGGGCGACGCGGCAGGGCCCCACCACTGGGGTATACACCAGCAAACGGCAAGGGCCACAAGCCCCAGCGTCGCCAATAACAAACCCTTGCAACCAGCCCCAAAAATCCCGAGGTGACAAAAAGAGGGGGAGTTGGGGAGGCCCACCAGAATGATGTACAGCGCGACAAAAAAGTAGGCGGCCGCCGCGAAGCACGCGGTGCCCCAGGCCCCCGTGACAAGGCCGACGTAGGCCAGCAGGGCGGCGGCCGCGAGGCCGTTGAGGGGTAGGGAGGAGACGACGCCCTGCAGCATGCAGATGAGCAT